GGGGTGGGGCAAGGGCAACATACGTAACCTAAACATCTGTACCCCTATAATATGCTGAAATAAAAAAAAATGCTAAAAAAAAAAATACTTGCATGCAATCAGTCACCACGTGGGCCCCCCTGGGACCCCAGTTCAAACAAATTGCAGAAAATAACAGACACTGCGACATTCATGAGATAACTGGAACAGGACAGCATCCATGATTAAAGAAGAACCCGTTCATTGTTAGGTGTGATAACGGCATTGCGATTATGTGTTCAAAAACAGAAACTGAGTTGTAAATGAAAGTGTGTGATGTCTGGGATTTGCTTTGGAATAATACGGGAGGGGAAGCGCAAGGGAGCAATGAAAGGGGAGGGGCCTTGAGGTGACAATGATTGGAGGGTGCGGGAGGGGAGACGAGGGGCTCGTTGTATTTGTTGCTTCCTTTTGTGCGTGTTCGGAGTTCTCTAAGAACTTGCAAAGTACACATTTTGCAAGAACACAAGGGAACAAGATGATACACATGAAATGTACCAGAAATTCTGGGAGAGGAGTGGGAATGAGGAAAACGGATAAAAGAGGATTTTTTTTTTAATAGGCAGGAAAGGAGGAAAAGAAAAGGAAAAAGTAAGGTAGGGAGGAAATGGGAGAGAAAGAAGGGAGAGGGAGGGAGGGAGGCAGGGAGGCCTCCTGGGCTCAGACCTTGTAGTGCTCGGCCGTGACCGTGAACACCAGCTCGAAGGCGGCGCCCTTCTTGAAGGGCATGCTCCTCTTCCTCTCCTCGCTGCCCCACTTGCCACCCTGCTGCGTGTTGAAGACCACCTTGTCCCAGCCATCGAAGCGGGGGTTGAAGTGGAAAGCAATGTCCGCCCCTGGTTCGTGCCCCGCCACGAAGTTCACGGAGAACCTGGGGGGACATGAAGGGCTCGTTCCCCTGTGGCCCCTCCAGGAGGCCCTCTCCCACTCGCCCTGTCCCAGGGCTTCCCGCCCCAGGCCTCAGCACCAGCTCTGAGGGGTGACCCCGGCACTGCTGACCCCAGCAGGGAGGGGAGGTCGTGCCTCCAAGTTCCAGAAGCAGATTCCCATGGCCACCCCTTCGCTCGCCACCTTCCCTTCTTAGATCGCCTCCTCCCCAGCCCCTCCCCTCCTGCAAATTACAGCCTCTCTATGTCTGCCGTGGGCTGGGCCCTGTCCTGTGCACCTGGCTCCCTTCCTGGCCCCACCAGCCCACTCCCCTCATGCAGCGGGAGGCCCCTGTGAGCACCCACATCAGAGTCCATTCTGCACCTCCCAGCACATCACACACACCTGCCTCAGGGCCTTTGCACTGGCTGTTCCTCCTGCCCGGACACCCTTCCCTCAGCTGTCCCCAAGGTTCCCTCCCTACCTCCCTCAGGTCTTTGCTGAAATGTTTCCCTCCCAGGGAGGCCTTCTCTGGCCATCCTATTAAAAGGGACAATGCCACACTTGCCCCCACATACGCTCCCCATCTCCCTTCCTGCCTTATTTCTCTCCATAGCACTTATGGCCATCAGACACGGCACATATCTGACGTATTCATTGTCTGTCTGCCCTGCTGGGATGTTGGCTCCACGAGGGCAGCGTCTTTGTCCTGTTCACTGCGCTGCCCCACTGCCCAGGCACAGAGCGACGCTCAACGGATAAATAAACGACGAACAGAGAAACAATTCTATGCGATCAGTTCAGTTATCGACATAGTAAGGCCCTAAAAAAGTAAGACTTCAAGACTTATCATAGTGTTTCCTTTCCAGTTCTTGCTGTTTTACCTGCTGAATCGTCACAATTCCCTTTTGCAGACGGGAAAGTGAAGCACAGAGAGGGACACTAGCTTCCCCGTCGCCCAGCTGGGGAGTGGCAAAGCTGGAATTTGAACTCTGAATTCAGGCCGTCAGCCCTGTCAGTTCCAGTCCAGCGTCCCAACTCCGGGGTCACCTCTCACGGTGAGCCCTCCCAGCCCCCAGGTCCCCCTCCTCATCTGAGCAGGGCTGGTCTTGGGCCATCGAGTGGGGTGGCAAAGAGGCAAAGAGGCCCGTCCCCAAGCAGAGTGGGGGAGGGGAGAGGCCCCCCGCAGCCACCGCCTGGTGGGGGAGGGTCTTACCTGTTCATGCGCTCACTGGCCACTCCCTGGATGTAAACGGACATTCCCACTCTGAGCCCGCCGGGGATGGGCTTGTTGTAGGGCAGCGTCTGCAGAAGGGGCCTTGTGAGGGGCCTGAGGCCATTTGCCGGCTGCATCCTCGACCCCTCACCGAAAAGCCCCCCGTCCCTCAAGCAGGCGGGAGGAGACTGAGTGCGAGGTTCAGGGCCAAGATGAAGAGGCCGGGGTAGGTGCGAGCAGACCGAGCACTGGGGGCAGCAAATCGAGCCTGAGAACCCCAGCGGGGGAAGGTTGGTGCGGTCAGGGTGGGGCTCGGCTGGCATCTCACCGGGTTGTAGGTGGGGTTGTAGCCCGGTGCAGGGACGTAGGCCATCTCAAGAGGCTGGGCTGGTGACTCGTCCTGTGAGAAGAGCTGCTGGAGTGGGAAATGGTGGCAGGTGGCAGGTGGCTCTTATACTTGAGGGTAAGGGAGTGGCTGGCAGGGGCGAGTCCACGGGGTCCCTCTTCTGGGGCTCCCAGGCTCTCAGCTTCTCCTAGAGCGCCCCCTAGTCTCCCTTCCCCTGTACCTAGTGACAAAATTATCTGGGTCCCCTCCCTACACCCTCCTGCAAGAAGGAAGCGCTAGTGAACTTCGGCCCCGCCAGGGCCTTATCAGAGCCCATAAAACCCTGCCCCACTCTGTTGGCAGACGGAGGGTGAGACCAGGCAGGGTGGGCAGGGCAGGGCAAGGCCGGGCCGCAGGAGTGGCCCAGGCCAGGTGGGCCATGGAAGCAGGCGAGGGTCAGGAGGAACTGGAAGTTCTTGACTCTCCCAGCGACTGTGAAAGGACCTAAAGTTATTGCGTGCCCACCGCATTTTTTTTTTTTTTTTTTTT